CCGCCATCCCTACCACTGGTACAGGTAAGTAGAGGTAAGTATTCCATTGACTGATCGCGGTCAATGTGACAGGTGTTCGGTGGGTGGTGACAGGGTGACCATGGTTACCGCTAATTTGTGCCTGGCTCCGCCCATCCCACCGAATATGCACCTAACGCCAAGCTCATCATTAACGATGAGTTTAACTTGGCAATGTTTGACCATTTCAGAGCATGTGTCATTCTCTAGAGAATAATGCAATTCATCTAACATACACCGAATCGAAATATGGCAAGCACTTTGAATAACTATTTTTACAATAACTTACGAATTTCTCGCGCGCTGATTGGTTATTTTTTATCATCAATAAAAGATAAAGCCGACGTCAACGAGCGCGTGCTCTTTCCGTTGGTTGTTTTGATCACTAAGAACGTCTTTATCGTTTTTGTTATTGTAAAATACAAATGGACATCGGTTTTTTGTGTCTGTCCTCTTATTGACGATAAATTTCGTCATCACATTGTCAAAGTAGTATGCGGATCTACACTACTTTGACAATGTGATGACGCAATTTATCGTCAATAAGAGAACAGACACATAAGAAACTGATGTCAATTTGTTAATGTTCTGGATGGCCTGACTAGCCTCTCGTACATGTGACAACGCTTTTATGTTTCCACTGAACACGAGGCTAGTCAGTCGCTAGTCAGTCCAGAACAATAGTCATTTAAATTGGTCATCACATAGATTCCGTGTATATAGGGCTGGATTCTGCTTTCTATTCAACGATTACTTCCCGCAACCAGAATAGTCTACGAGTCAGTAGACCATAAGGTGGAGAAGTCAATAAATGGATATGAAATACTATGAAATTAAGTTGGAGTAATGTATTTTTTGTGTTGTTTTGGTTTTCAAAATCAGCATTTTTAGCTATTAGTTTTCTATCACTAATAGTAGTTCAGCCAATCAGTACACAGGATTTGTAATAGACCATAAATAGGTTTATGCTAATGCACAATAGGCCTCTTTAGCTAGGGCATTCTCTTTAGAATATAATTTTTGTTTCATTAATATCCATTTTTATGTCTATTCAAGTGCAACCATTGAACCAAAAATAATACTCAAGGGAATGACACATGGTCTGAAATGGGCAAAACATTATGACCAAGCTTAAGTGGTCTATCGTACCAAATAGTTGTCTCATTACTAGGACACTGTCTTCAAGCTATCCTTTTCTTAAGTGATTTCACTGTTGTTTTGATTGGCCAAAATAACTGCCTACGACTAATGGTCTACTCATGCGCATTACAGTGCAAAGCCGATTTGCTGCAAAAATTGTCTGCTCATGCGCAGTAACATTGCATTTGTTAACATGTCTCACTTGCAGTAAATCCACAGCCTACAGCTGATTTACTGCAAAGAAGCATCAAAGCTCTTGGCCAATCACTGGCTTTTCCTTTACAAACATTGTCCTTCATTTATGCATTACTGTGCACACACACTAACCGAGACCACTTGAAGAAAGTTATCCAATCACAACATAATGTGAAAATAAAGTAATCTAACTCTTAACTCGAACCAATCAGGAGCAAGCATCAAAGTCTAGGCATATATCTATCTAGATGTTATTGCTGGTTTTCAATCATTCCCAAGAGAGTGAAATAAAAAAAGACATGGCAGCCATGTTGGATGATACAACAAAAAAATTCATTGACAATTCTTTTGTTAAATTCATCCAACATGGCAACAGTGAGGTGCAAACAAAGAATTGACAACCTCATTGAAATGAGTGACTGTGATTGGTTGAGGTCAATATTATACTGATTTTACTCTCTACTGATTAGCTATAGTTTTTTTTATCTTAAATTTTGTTCAAGTAGTCCTGGTAGGTGTGTCTGTACAGTCATTCCGACAGACAGTATTATTCACTTAACAAGAATTCATTGAATTCTCCATATTGCATTTTTGCTCTACTTCATATCAAGTCTTACTGTTTGGATACTTCAACCGGGACCACTATGATAAATTAGTATCATCAACCAATCATATTGTGACATTTAGTTCAATATTTTGAACCGGCCATGGATATAATAAGAGTGTCAGAACGTGATAATCTGATTGTCTAACACTGTTATCAGTTCAATTTCTGTCTAGTTTACCGTTATCTAATTGGTCAGTTTTATTCAAGTGGTCCCGGTTAGTGTGTCTGCACAGTAATACTATCTCAGTATTCTTGGGGTGTATGTCATGTCATAGCCCCATGTTGCTTGATGATAACAAACTATTCCTCATTAGCTTCTCTTGTTCGATCAACCAACCTAGTGGCTGTCTCATCTTAATTTATATTATATCTCAAGTGATTTTAAGGAATTTTTTTGCCACATAGTACTGAATCAAGAATAGCTGTCATTCAGTTCATTTGTGTTAAAGGATTTTTCAATATTACACAAACTTGCATGGTGTAGTTGCAAATTGCCCAATAGAAATTGGTATTTCACTACCACCAGTCAAAAATATGAAACATATACTGACTGATTACTTTTGATTGGTGTAAGTGAAAACCATATTTCAGTATGCAGCTTCCATGTCTGTTTGGTATTAAAAACTGCTACATGAAAGATAGCTTTGAACATTGTTCTTTCAAGTAAAATTTCTGGTTTTTGCATTCAAACATAGCTAAAGATCTATGTTCATATAGTTCATTTGTCTTTAGAATACAGTTAAAAGAGCAAATACTCCATACAAGAGTGCACAAGGGTATGCCACAAGAGGTTGCTGAGAATCCATAGCCAATGCTGAGACAAACAGCTTTGATGATACCAGACTACACCAGCCTATAGTCACTGCCGTCAAAACAGAACCCAGCATTCCTTGCAGGCTGATCAAAAGAGATACCCCTGACAGCGCTACCATTGGTAGTAAACAGTAACCAAGAACACTGACCACAGTACTAAATGACACATCAGCCAAGCTCATCAAGTTCAGAATGGCATACATTGCTACGCACCCAAGAGCACTGTACCCATATATGTACCCGAAATGCACCTTGCCATGAAGAAGCAAAAATCCCCCAAAAGCCAAGCAGAAGAGTAGAGGTCCTCCCAAATCTGTGTCATCCATTAGATGGGAATCCGCCTGTTTTAATGGATTTAAGACTGACAGAGTCTTCTGCCATACATGATCTAGGTTAAAGCCAAGTTCTTCTAATAATGGCGGTTCGTCCTCAAACCCCGTTGAATGTGCTTCATCAACCTGTCTGATCTGATCGTTAGTAGGTGAAGGATATGATGGATTGTAGTATTGTGCGTTTCCATTCACGTTTGGGTTGTAATAATTGCCACCAGCGTACTGATTATAGCCATATTGATTCCCATATTGAGGTTCGCCGTATTGATCGTTGCCATAACCTTCCTGTTGGGGAGAATGGCTTTGCTCGTAATTCGTCGAATAAAAACCATTTTGGTAAAATCCTTGGTCTTCTTGGTAGTAATTTTGATCGTAGCCCGACATATCAGACTTCCTTTAAAGGATTAATCTTTAAAAGAGCGAATTTTTGTACACAATTTCGCAAGAAATCTGAAAATATTTTACCGGTTTCAAGACACGTAAGCGATTTAAATGTACGATACCCAGTCTTCTATCAGTTTTATTAGGCCCCGAGAGATTGAGCTCGACTTCCGAATACCAAACGAAATATTACGAAAATGACGAGTATTTTACGAAACACCTACGAAACATTAAAACTATATTACGTTGATTTAAAATAATAATATAATGATAAAGCTAGATTTATTCACTCAATAAAAGTTAATAAGATATAAAAATTTTATTTTTTTGTTATGATTATTGAAGTTATACTTCGTTCGGCTATTCGGAATTTCTTCGTTTACTAGTTCGACGGTGTTCGTTGTGAGTTGTTTTGGCGCGAGTTCTTTGTTATTGTAACTTCAGATTCCATGTGCAGCGATTTGTCGAAAAAACGAAAAGAATGTCCGATATATTTACCCATACCAAATTATTTCGTGTTGAATTATATGTGGCAGCTCTTTTAGCAAGCTTTGGATGTATTTTTTGGAAACTTTTCACAGTTATCAGAGCATCAAAAGGGGTTTTTGTCAAGTACTTACTTGTGCCAGTATTTGGTATTGTTTCCTTGTGTGTAATATGGAGAAATATCCTGATGTCCTTGATGGAAATGGTTAAAGATTATCCAGACTTGAAGACGATGTTCAGGGAGTCAGATGTCATTGTAGAGGTAATGTTTTCTTCCTTGTGAAAAAGCAAATTATAGAAAAACGTCAGAAACTTGAGTTTGTTTATGGGAGCTTTACACGTGCATATAGTAGCTTCCATAAACTAAGATGCACAAAAAAGATTTAAATTGTCTAGAATAACTTAAGTAAAATCATGATGAGCCACTAAATCAGGGTAAAAAATCTTATGCCACTACCTCATTAATGATTTATGAGTAAAACATAATAGAAAACATGACCGTGAAGAGGTTTATAATTCTGATACAGAATCATGAGTCAAGCAGGGTTGCCAATCCCCAAAGTATTCAAATCAGGAGAATTGATATGGAAGGGTTGTGCCAACACTGTGGGTTACCTGTTTAATATGACCAGGAACAGATCCAGGAGAAGGTGCAGCATGGAAGGGTCACCCACCCAGCAGCAAAAAATCTTTGAACCAAAAGAATCGCATCCAACATATTTAAAAATCATTAAACACAAAAAAATATTTTTAAAAAAGTTGCTTAGATTATCGCTTGTATTGCAATGGCAAGAAATTTTCCAATTTTTATTAGAAAATATTTAGATTTTGCAAGCAATGCAAAATTACACTAATACCTCTGAAAAGAATTAGAAGTTTATGGTTGAAAAAAATGAAATGTCACAACAAAGCAAGCACTGATTAATGAGGATGATTATCCAGGAGATTGGGGGTGCTTACCTGGAGATGAGGTCCAAAATATTCAGACTCTGGGATAATCTGGAAGAGTTGGCAGCCCTGGGGAAGGATGATTTATTGATGTTAGTTTTGAGTGACAACTGCCCCCTGTCCCTATTAGGGCTCAGCTTAATGTATTCCAACCATATCCACCTTCACTGGCAATTTTTTATTAAAGGAATCATTTTGCAAAAAGCACTTTAAAGATAGAGTGTGCGTCATATATTTATGAAAAGATGTAATGTTTAATTGTAACTTTTTTTTATGAAAGAGTGGATATCGCTAAATCTACTCGTATTTGTTTTGTTCATGCCAATCAGGAGTCCAATCCGGAGGGTGCTGAGGGTAGAGACTGCCCTTCACCCCAATTTTTTTATTATACCTTTGTATATGGTAGAAATTCTAAAGGTTAAACACATGGGTGATGGTGGGAAATTGTACAATGCTCCCTCCCCTTTATGACAGAGACCTCACTTTGCCCATGAGTCTAATTGCTTCTATCTTTTTAGACCTACCATGTTGTAACTGACTCTATTGAAGGCTATTGGTGGTCATCGCAGCTGTTCATGTTTGCCATGGTTTATATTCTGTTTCTAAACACCAAAGCACGGCAGATAAGCATGTCAACTCCTGAAATCTGTGCATACACATGGCTTGCCTTCAGTGGTGCTGTAAGCTTATCCTTTGCACTCTTCATATACCGTTATGAAGTGACTCTGCACACAGAAAGCAGAAGAGTCGAGCATCACCAGATGTCAGGCTGGAGTTTTGCTGTGCTTGCAATTTGTTTATGGCTGTCGTATATTTGTATCATCTTCTTGTATTATTCTGTTGATTCTGCATTTAAGGTCTAGCTTTTGCTTTTCCATCTCATTTTGCTTCTTCCCAGCTTTCTTCCTTCAGTCCATGTAAAAGGCTTTACTACACAAGCTTCAAAGGGGTTGGTCCCATTTCTTTATGGTATACTTGCTGTTGCTCTTACTGCTCAGCATTTTTATTTCACCCATCTTGCTCTGCCTCATTCAGACCCCAAGACATTTTACACCTTGCTTTCAGCAGGCTTTGGTCATTATAGTCAATGTGCAGTTTCTTTAAATGCTGGCTTTTGTTTGGTCATATGTATTGCCTATCTGCTGTTGAGATCTGATAATACTTCAAACCCAATACTAGTAGTTGTACCCTTTGTGTTTCTCTCTCCTTGTATCTCATTAGGGGCAGCATTCTCACTTGTAATGTTGTACGAAGAGTACGATTTAGAGAGAAAAACAGAAGTTAAGGAAGACTGAATTTCTTATACTGCTATTTAAAAACGCTTTTGTTGCATGTTGCATGTTTTTATACCAAACTTACAATGTGTCATAATTATTATGTATTATATTCAGAAGCAAATATACTGGAAAAAGTGCAGATAAAGTTAGGTAAAATTACATATTGTTGTCATCTTTAGCTGACTGGATTCAATAGTGCATTTGGGGCTTGGTATGCAACATAACCTACGCCAACCTTTTTGAAATGGCTGTATAGAAAGGGAATGAGAAGAAAACTGAAGGCACTCTGTAAAAAAGTCTCAAGCTGTACTGACGTTTCGTACATTAGTCCTTCAGTGAATGAAATGTCAGTAAAGTTCCAAACCTTTTTTCCTTTTTTAAAAACTTTTTTATCATTTAGTTTTTGTTAGCAGTCACAACTAGTAACCACTAGTCATTATCAGTTTAACTTTGTATTTGTAGAATGTGCTAAAATACCATAGCCAAATTTCAAAAAGGCAATAAAACATTATTTTATGTCAATTTTATTATTTTATGTGGATTTTAGGGGGGTAGGGGGAGCAAGAGTACCAGAGTTGGAGGTCCAATTTGGTCTGGCTTTGGTAAAAATATATCTTTTGTTAATCATGCCTTATATGGTGTGGCTTTTTTTTTTTACCCCAGCTAGACCAGAATGCACCTCTGTGGTTGTCGAACTCAGGAAATTGAGACCCCATCCACAAATCTTTGGATATTTTAAAAGTTTCGTTTTCATCCATCCACGATAACATTTAAAAAAAACCCAGCGTTTTTAGAAATTTCCATTCTTGAAAGCGTTTCGAAAAGTTGCGCTTTCAAGTGGAGTATTCATCGGATACGTGTACACCTATTTCAAAAAACGTCACCGCCAAAGACGATAGGTAGTTCCGAAATGGAAATGGTTTCGTTGAATACGAAAAACATTGAATCAGTCTCAACACTAAGGTCCATGTTCTTGACGAGAATAAGAAGAAACACAAGTCATTCCAGCTGTTTTTGGATCTTGGAACGAGCTTTCTATCGCTTTACGCCTATCTTATATTGCCTTTGGCGATGACAATGTTTTTTTTAAATAGGTGTATACATCTAATCTTAGGCAATGGATTTTCTCATCGCCGAGCGGACTGTCAAAAAATCTGCTTTACATTACCGACTACGCAGTGACCAACATCATTGCACTTAGTGTCCACTCAGTGAACTAACAAATATCCACATACACAAAGCTCCTGTCAGGCGCGACTATGCAGTGAGCCACAAACCGGCTAAAGAACTTTGAAATGTGACGTCAGTTCTAAGGTTCCGTTTACACTGACAGGGTTATTAATGAAGTAAGTCCTCTTTGAAAACGACTTTTATGTAACTTTTTTGCGCGATAGAGCTTTTTTTGTTTCTGCGCGTTCAAACTCGCCCTGAAGCACTTGATGGCCACAGGTTTATAAGTTTCCTTTGAGGGAGTTTGGGTCGACACTAAAAACGACCGTAGCGTTACTCTCGGTAAATAAAGGATTGGTTGCCAACGAAGCTAACGTAGAGGAGTTTTGAGTTTGTTACGAATGTGCGTCATTTCTTTTGTTCTAAACAGGTTTTCATAGATTACGCTCCATAAAAGGTAGTGTGCATGGTTTTGGTACCGGTTTTGAAAAACCGGTTTTTGTGTAAAGTGTATTTTTTGACGTAGTTCTTGTTTTTGAGGCCCGTGCCATTTCAGGCGTGGTAACACTGAGTTATCTCTTATTGGTTAATAAACTACGCGATTTCTTACTAATGATGTGGCGCGATGAATTGGCTGCTGCGCATATCTTTATAGAAAACAACTCGATGATCAATGACTTTGAATGCACTGAGATCATTTCTCACTAATTAGACCTCGGCTCTGGAGCGCTGAGAGCAATGTTGTCCCATTTCAGACCACGTGTCATTCCCTTGAGAAAAATATTCTTTGTTTGAGTTGTATCCATATTCATGTGTCTTCTCAAGTACAACCGAGCGCAAACATTAAACAAAGAAATAATACTCTAGGAAATGACACGTGGTCTGAAATGGGAAAACATTACGTCAGAGCCGAGGAGGTCTATTGACTTCAATTGCCCGAAATTAACCATTTTCCTTACTTTTAAAACACTCCCTTTCTTAAATTTATTGCTTCGTTGGCACATCCAGATTCCATTCTGAGAACAAACACTAGATCTCAATCCGGATACTGATAAGTCTGACTAGTTATTATTATTATTAATGCACGGCTTGGCGGGCGAAAATATTGTTCTATCCAACATGGCTGGCCGCCGCGCCTGAGAATAGACGGTCTATTTTTTAAATAAGGAAGTTCAAAATTTCTAAAGTTGTCGCCCAAAGTAATCGATATGAAATTGAAACTGACTTTAAAATCAACTTAAATTTTCAAAAGATGAAGATTTATAAGGGTATAATTGAAAGGTAAAATGAGAAAAATCTGATCGATCGAAGGCAAACCGACGTGGCGCCATTGTCTAGACTAATATGAAAAAATTTCAAATGCCTCCCGTTCTCAACCAATCATAATAAAGAAGAGACAAAAACAAAAAAACAAAAACAAAAAAAAAACAAAAAAACTCCCAATAAATCGAGAAAACGTCATCAATCTGGTATCATAAAAGCCCCGATTCCGCGACAAGCCAGTTAATTCAATAGTCTACGCCAGAGCGCAGGGGAAAGAAAACAAAACTGGAAAAAAGTTGAAAAACTTAGGACAACGACATGGACAAGTACAAAACGGTCATGGTTTTGCTTTTTGTTTTATGGTTTTTGGGTTGCTCAGTCGAGGATTGTGAAGGAATTGCTGGTGTTTTATCCCCCCGTCGGCCTCGCTGTAGTCGCAGACACCCAAGACTGAAACTTTGTAGACGACATAGAAAGCAAAGAAACAAGAAACGAGGAAGGAGAGAAATTGACTGGACAAGGTATGAACTTTTGGATGTTTTGTTTGACTCGAATAATATTCTAGATTATAAAATAACATAAAATGTCCTAGATAAAATTTCTTGAATTCTATTTATTTTACTAGTTTCCTTTTTTCAAAATAGAAATTTATTTCTGTAAACCTCACGACTCTGAGCACTCGTACCATTCTATTTATAGGGAAGCATGGGTTGTTTGTCCTGCTAAGCTCGTCGTTCATAAATCAATACCAACTATGCTAAATTTACATTAAATTTCTCGGCTCCCAAGATTTGGGAAGAAATTCCAACTCCAATAAAGAAAAGTCACTTCCATTCAAACCTTCAAAAAACAATTGAAAATTTACCTCGTTTACTCACAAAAGTGAAGAGCAATATTTAATGGAAAACAAACTATCTTGGTCAATGCATTAATTATTCTCTTGATACTCTTTGATAGTGGATGGCTGTTGACTCGATAGTTTATACTTTTTCAACAGCTATACACTTAAGCTTGATCTCACTTTGTAGATATTTATTCTGTAAATTTCATAACTGTTAAACTCTATATCAATATTCCTATTTTTTTAACTGTAATTTTTGTGTGTGAAATGAACTTGACTAGGCTTGACTCACTGTTAATTGTGGTGGTCGTGCGTTCAGCCCTTGTACCCGCCTTCATGTTGTTTGTTTGATGACTCTCTGCTGTGCGTTGAGGGTTTGTTTGAAAATTCTTCTAAATTCCGATTCAGTCATAAAACGTGAGTATGGAAGGTCCAAAGCGAAGGTTATTTTCTCGGGGAAACAAGGTCAGCTATTCCAAGAAAACAGATCGTATTCCGATTGATTTGTTCTCAGCTGTTCTCGATGCTTGTTGCTTGCCGTTTTGTTGCTGTGTGATTCGCGTAAGAACTTCTACTGATTATAAGTTTGCCGAGCTCCTCTCCGACATACCCAACTACTTCTAGAATTGCTAATTTTAATTTACAAAACTAAGATTAATCGAACTGCTTGATTTAACTCAACTATAGGCATTTACATCTCAAGAAGAATTAAAGGAGCAGCATGGCCAGGAAAGAGATAACGACATGGCAATTTCTTATGCAGTACTTGCTACTTCACTTGTCTTCCTGCGATTGCTGCTAAACCACAGCGAATTCTCAAGAATGCTCTGCAAAAAGAATTAAAGGAACAGCATGGCCGGGAAAGAGATAAAGACATGGCAATTTCTTATGCAGTACTGCTACTTCACTTGTCTTCCTGCGATTGCTGCTAAACCACAGCGAATTCTCAAGAATGCTCTACAAAAAGAATTAAAGGAACAGCATGGCCGGGAAAGAGATAACGACATGGAACTTTCTTAATGCTGCTAATTCATTTGTCTTCAGTTACTGCTTATCCAAAGCGAATTATCGATTGGAGAAACATTGCAGGAATGAATTTAAGCGACCCAGAGAGAGAAGAGTACGAAGAATGTAGAGGAACATTACGAAAATGTTGACCTGTTCCGTGTGGAACTGAACTGCAGAATCTGAACCACCTCCAGTCGGGAGGTGTCTGAGAGTTGGTTGGTTCCAAGCTTACAGGAGCAACAATGATAAGTTGTATGAAATATTAAAATATTTACTTTCATAAAAGGGTGCTGGTACATACATGTGTAATATCAATGATTAGGGTAGGCCATTTTCGCCACGGACCAGGAGGGGGAGGGGAGGGGGGGGGATTAAGGGACGTGTTTCCCGTCAAGCTCTACAGCGAAGAAGAATGCATAAGGCATCTATTGTATAGTCAGACTGCTCATTAACCGCAGTAGAAACATATACCTGTTTCCCGTCAAGCTCTACAGCGAAGAAGAATGCATAAGGCATCTAGTGTATAGTCAATCTGCTCATTAACCTCAGTATACCATATACCATTCCTCATGCCCAAATGGTTTAAAAATGCTTGCAATGTCTTGTAAATACCATCTGCATTCTCGAAATAAATAAATAAATCTATTGATCATTTATGTGGACTCGCCTAGGATTTTTTTCTTTAGTTGAATTGCTTTGTCTTTTATCCTTGGTTCTTTATCATTGTAGACATACTTTAGACTGTCTAGTATTAAGTCCTTTTGATCCTGAGACAAAAGACCCCAGCATCTCGCAGCTGTTGGGGAAAAAAGAAAAAAAACGCATGAGCAAAAATAGGCAAGGGATGAAAATATTAATGAAAGAATAAAAAAGGATAAAAAAGTAAACATCATCCAACATGGCTGCCACTTTTATTCTCTTAGGAATGATTACAAACCACCTATAGTGAACATCATCCAACATGGCTGCCACTTTTATTC